AGGTTTCAAAGGTCAAGCCTTTCTCCAAAGGATTAACTGAAAATAGTTTAGCTACTTCACAGTTCTTTGTTCTACAGACAAAAAAGCCATCCTCCCTGAATCTGTCCCAGGTGCAAGTTATTCAGCCAAGTTCCTGAAAACCTGGCTCAGGAAGCCAAAACAGCAGGACTCCGCCCAAGTCTTTTGTCCTTCCCTTTCACCTTGCCCCAACTGAGCTCAGGAGCTATAGATATGTTAATTGAGCCTGAGAAACCAAGTTGCGGGCCTGGGATTCAAACCAGCGACATACGATGTAAAGTTACCTGAATGTCTGGAAAATTACTGATGTTAGCTGTATCCTGTTTTAGTCCCTTCCAGCTTGGTGTGAAGCTCCTCCCCTAAATAAAACCGAGACGCAGGCCAGCCCAGGTGTGCATTACGGTTTGGAGGGCATGCAGTAAAGATTGCAGGGCAGTGAGTTGCTGCCTGCAGAAGCCACGATGCCTGTAGTCCCAAGTCTGCCCACCAGTGACGCATCTACCCTGGTTTCGGGGTGCCTCTTTGTCCCCCTCCTTCTGTCTGTCTGTGTATTCTTTTGCTATCTCTATCGCCACTGGATCTCCCCTCCTCGTGAACCAAACACTCGTGAACAACACTACTATGTCGAGGACAGTCCCCGACAGAGACTGACACAGTGATGACAACAATGGGTTTAAACATAGCAATGGTGGTGAGAATGGGAGAGGACTGGACAACTATTGTACATGGGGTCATGGGCACCTAACAATAAGAAGCAGCTTAAATTTGAATAACCACATGTGATTGGCTGGTGGCTACCGTCCTAGAATAGTGATTCCCAGAAATAGTGTCTAATCAGTCCTACTAGATGGAATGATCAAATTTACAGTCCAGGGAACACATCAGAAACATGAACTCTATTTCAAATGTCCTGCTCTAATCTATTCCATAATATACCAATATTTATCTTAAAAGAAATAGTTTTTCACTGAATATTGTTGTTGTTGTTGTTAAGTGCCGGTGAGTTGATTCTAACTCATAGTGAATAGGAAAGATGTTTCATACAATTTGAAGATGACAGGTCTCAACCATGACCCCCAAATGAGTTTTTTCTTCAATTCAGTCCATCCTCAAGAGACTCATCAGAGTAATTTTTCTAGAAAATAGATGTCCTCATGTCGATGTAATTCTCATATATAATGGTCGCTATGGGTTGGAACCGACTCGACAGCACTGAACAACAACAACAACATATGCAATAGATAATTGCAAATACTAATAATAATACTTATTATTAGAAGCAAATTATTGTGTGAAAACTGTGTGCCAGGCATTATGCTGCCTTTTCATAGTATTTTATTTGATTCAGTTTATACGATTGTGCCCATTTCTCAGGAAAGAAAACTAAGTCTTGGGTAGTATAAGTCACTTCCCCATGTTACAATAGTAGTTAGAGTTGTAGCCAGAATGTGAATCCAGAAGAAGGATCTGAGAACTCTTGCCGGAAATTACTATGGTTAAACAGCTGAGTGTTTCTGTCATTTAATGCAATGAAGTCAGAATCTTCACTGAACATTTAACGTTTCTCAGTGGATCCACTGTATCCCTAGTGCCTCATTTCCTCCACTTCTACACATGTTCTACATAATTTCATCTAGCCATATCATATGCTTCTCCATTCCATAAAGATAGCTCTAACTTTCATGCTTCTGTGCCTGTGTTAAATCATTTTGCCACATGGTTAAATCAGGGCTTCAAACTGGTTCTTCCCAGTTCAGCCATGGCCAACAAGGCAAAATGACAATGAACCTCAATTTTTAAAATGTGATTGTACCAGAACAACAACAACAACGGGAAAAATTACAAGTCAACACCCTGCTAGAAACAATCTCTCTCCTGGAAAACAAGGGCAGTGTGTGCAATGCATAGGAACAAAATCTCTGGATAGGTAGAAACAGTGGTGCCAGGGTCAAAGATGGTGGCCAACCATGTCACTATGAATGTCTGTCACTCTTCCCAGTCCTGGCAATAATCTAGTAACCACTCACATCAGGGTCCAGAAAGGGCTCATACATTACTTCCAAATCTCTCATTCTAGGGCTTCAATCTATAATCCTTCCTCTTCTGGTTATCTTTCTGGTACATCCACAGTCCACAAATTCGTGTCTGCTCTGAACTTGCTGTGTTGCCATGACAGATGCAGTTCAAATCTGTTTGAAGTCCTAACTTAAACATGTCTCCCCTTAAACAGTCCGTCAGTATGTCCTACTATGGTGGCTTGTGAGTTGCTGTGATTCTGGAAGCTATGACACCAGTATTTTAAATACCAGCAGGGTCACCCATGGTGGACAGGTTTCAGATGAGCTTCCAAACAAAGACAGACTAGGAAGAAAGAAT